CTGTGAAGGTTCTAGAGGGGCTTCAGGACCACTCTGTGAAGATCCTGGAGGGGCTTCAGGACCACTCTGTGAAGGTCCTGGAGGGGCTTCAGGTCCACCCTGTGAAGGTCCTGGAGGGGCTTCAGGTCCACCCTGTGAAGGTCCTGGAGGGGCCAAGCCAGAATCCAGACTTGAATCTGATTGAACATCTCTGGAGGTATCTGAAAATGGCTGCACAGGCGTCTCTCATCCGTCCTGGTGGAGCTTGAGAAGTACTGCAAAGAAGAATGGGACGAACTCCCTAAAGATGCAGCGGTGCTTGAAAGTTTATGCAGCCTTTATTAATTTTCTATATTTTTGAATAATTATGACCTAAACCATCATCAGATTTTCACACAAGTCCTAAAAGTAGATGAAGAGAACCGTTAAACAAATGAGACAAAAATATTATACTTGTTCATTTATTTCTTGAGGACAATGATCCAATGCTTGCACCTATAATGACACACTTTCATTTAATCTAATCTGTACTACGGCCAGACACATTTTGACATGACTTGATGTGACTGTGTTTGACAGGTGTCGGCTTGGGGAGGTTACGTCTTCATCATCAACCTCATTCCTCTTCATGTCTTCGTCCTGCTGCTAATGCAGCGCTTCAGTAAGAGAGTCTACATCGGTAAGACGACTAAAACACCTGCTCACAACATAAAATCACTATTTTTGTTCACTATAAATAAAGGGCAACAACTTTGTGATTTGTGACAACAAAACAACTAGAACACCTCTGGGGAAAAATGTTGAAGAGTGCCAAGCAAAATAAAATGGTAAATAAATGTTTGGCTGCTGCCAGTGGCTCGTTATGGTCACCATGGCAACTACACTCTGTCAGGTAAATGAGAGGCGGCGTGGACTTGGTGAAAGAAGACAAAACATACTAATTGAATTGTATAGTTTGTATATGTTCCTAAAGAAGTTATGGAAATAAAGAGTTTGTTTGAAAAAGATTAAAAACGTAGACAATTAAGAATGTAATGTGATGTGACACCAGTCGGTTGAATGTTCTGTAGAAAACAAATCTACGAAAATCATCGAACTTAAACTATGATACTAAGATTTTAAAAAACGAGTTCAAACATGTAAAGTCCAACTTCTGACCAGTTTAAACTTTAAATGTTTCTACAGGAAGTAAAATAGACTAATGGTAAATGGACTGTACTTATAAAGCACCTTGATATCTTCTCAAGATACTCAAAGCTCATCCCTCGCTCATTCCAGGAATTAGGAACATTCATTAGGAATACATTTTTCAGTCTTTCTCCCTCCTTGGATGCATTAATCTGTCCTCCAGCTCTAATGTTAAAAATCTTGGTGTTATTTTTGATCAGGACATGTCTTTTATCCCCTACATTAAAAACTTTACTAGAACCACCTTCTTCCACCTGCGTAAATCACTAAAATTAGAAACATCTAAAAATGATGCAGAAAAACTGGTCCATGCATTTGTCACGTCTAGACTGGACTATTGCAATGGTTTATTATCTGGATGTCCAAATACGTCTTTAAAACGTCTTCAGTTGATCCAAAATGCTGCTGCTAGAGTCTTAACTGGAGTTACTGGGAGAGATCATATCTCTCCAGTTTTAGTTTCTCTCCATTGGCTCCCTGTCAAATCCAGAATAGAATTCAAAATCTTACTTCTAACCTACAAAGCTCTCAACAACCTAGCTCCATCTTATATTACTGATCTTATTGTTCCATATTTTCCTAACAGAGCACTTTGCTCTCAGACTGCAGGTTTACTTGTGGTTCCTAGAATTTACAAAAGCAGAATGGGAGGCAGATCTTTCAGTTATCAGGCTCCTCTCTTGTGGAACCAACTTCCAGTTTGTGTCTGTGAGGCTGACACATTGTCCAGTTTAAGACTGGGTTTAAGACTTTCTTTTTGATAAATCCTATAGTTAGGGTTGGCTTGTTAAGATGCTGTAGGCTTAGACTACAGGAGGACAAATTGACCTCATTTCCTTAAAAGAATTGTTGAAATTGAATAATTTTCATTTGATACTGTTTCTATCTTAACATGTGATTCTTGACCTGCCATTGTGTAGCTGTTCCTCTCAAATCCAGTCAGTTGAAGCAGATGGTCACTTGTCCTGAGTCTGGTTCTGCTAAAGGTTTCTTCCTCATGAGGGAGTTTTTTCTTTCCACTGTCGCCTTCATGCTTGTTCAAGATGAGAGTTCTGTGATGGAGTTAAATTCAAAGCAGCTCCTCAGATAAATAATGTTAAATTATTATTTTTACATGTAATATTTCTCTTCAGTGTCCTGAGATGACTTCTGTTGTGACTCAGCGCTAGGAATGCACGATATATACGGTATATGGTAGAAACGATAGAAATTTAGCCTACGATAGAGATCTGACTTCTACCGGCTAACTGCAGTAATGCTGTGTCTGATGTAAAATCAGAGTTTTCAGTTTAATCGTTACTTTTTTTAGTTGAAAACTGTGTGTAAGTGGCGTTAAAGTATTTTCTTCAAGAGCTAAGTAGCGAAGCTACAAGCTAGCTACAGCCGGCTTGCCGTAGTGTTGTATTCCTGTAAAGTGTCCTGAGACAACTTTGGTGTGATTTGGCGCTATATAAATAAACTGAATTGAAAAAACTGAATTGAATTGTATTCTGACGCATGCACAAAACTGAACTGTACTGAACATCTCTGAGCTTCAGAATAGACCGAGTTTTCTCATCATTTCTGCCAAAATCTTATTTATTTTTTGTGAAATTAATTTACATTGCCTATTGTCATACTACAAAAAAAAAAACCTGCTTTATTGTATAATTTGCATGTTTTATGTGTAAGCTGTGTGACAAGATGCAGGACAAGAGTTTAAAAGCAGATGGTATTTAGCATGCTTCACAGTTTATGCTTTGGCACTTTAATAAAACATTTCGGGCTCAGTAACTGTTCATTCAGCAGGTCGCAGCCTTGAAAGATTGAAAGCTGGAGATGTATCACAGCTTGTTCGTTATCACATCTGTCTTGTGTCACTGTTAACACAATCCAGTTACAACTGATACCCTCCCAGTTTACACAAACCATGTGAGAGCAGTGTGTGTAAGATGTTAGATAAAAAGAAAGTTACAGCGCAGGCACGGAAATAAAACATTGAAGTGTTTTTTCTCCAGAGCTTGGTTCACAGACCAGCTCACGCCATCAGACGATCCGAACCAAGAGACTGGTCCAGTTCAAAGACGAGCTGGAAACAGCACTAACAAGTGAGGAAACACTTTGTTGGATGTAGATATAAAGTTTAGAGTTGAAGCCACGCTGAGGGCAGGTGAAGATGTGGGAGACTCAGGAGAAGAGAAGGTTTGTTCCAGTTGGATTATTGATGAAATGAATAATTGAACATGACGCTTCCTCTCTTGGTGTCAGTCCTGCTGGTTCTTCCTCCCCCCAGTGGTTTTTCTCTCACCTCCTGTCTCCCTAAAGACCAGCACTGGTGTTTACGTGTAGTTCATCTTCTAACATCTCATTATGTTTGATACATACTATGATTCAGGTTCCATTCATCTCCGTCCGTCCTCTGACTGATGAAGCACAAACACCATGAGAAAATCCCTTTAGGTCCTGTGATCAGCTGTGTGTTCTTCAGAGGGGAAACAAACCTGTGTTGATTTTTCATCAGCTTGGCGGCTTGTTCTGCCGTCACTGCAGGCTGTCTGTGCCGTACCATATGGTACCTGCAGGGACGTCTACACCGCTCATCAATCAGAGAACTGCTCTGCACGGCAGCTGAATGAAGTCATTAAAACACAGAGACGACTTCATGGAGCTCCAAATGAGCTTCATTAGATGCTGCAGCCAAAAAACTACAAACTACAAATGAATGTTGAGACGACGTTTACTTGGAGCCCAATGCAGAAAGACAAAGTGGACAATAATGTTTTTGCTTGGGTCTGCATCTGTCTGTTAGTAAAATATCCCATGAACCACTGAAAGAACTTTAACGAGACACCCAAAGTAATCAGTGGATGGAAGTTTACTCTGATTCATCCAAAGTTGAGCCGGGTCATCTGGACGGGTTGTTCTTGTTGAAACGTTCCGTCTTTCATCTGAAAGACTTCATCAGTCTGAGCCTGCCACACACTCAGTCCTATGAACAGCACCTTCTCAAAGTGCATCAACCAGCTTGCAGGGGACATCCAGAACTAGCTGTTCACATGGTAAAGGAGGACCATCAGTCTAATAATCGATTGTTAGTGCCCTGATGGCCACTTGCTATTCACAGAACCAGCCTGAGGCGTCGGTACATCTGGTTAACTTTTGAGTCAGTCCAATCCAAGATGGCTGGCACGCTGTAAGTAAAGCTCCCACAGCTGGTCAGACTCAGCTGACTGAGCTCCTGAAAGTGTTCTGGTCTGCCAGCTGCAGAGCTGGGGGCGGCTCTCAGCCTTCATCTTGCACAGAGGCAGTATTTTACCTGCAGAGCATGTTTGGACTCATGTTGTTCAGTCTGAAGAAAATATTTCACCCCCACAGAGAGTTTCTGCTGCAGAGAGAGGACCAGCTGGTAGTTCATGTAATTTATACTGGACTTTCCAACTCTGATTTTATTTATTTATTTATTCTTTCTTTCTTTCGGCTGCTCCTTCTTCAGGGGTCGCCACAGTGAACTAACTCGCACTTGTCAATTGTTTTTACACCAGATGTTCTTCCTGACTCAACCACAGACCACTGAGCTACCACAGCCCTCTGTGTGGAGCAGAGAGCTGATGTCTAGGGTGCCTGGGGGGCAGGTGGTGGGGGTTAAGAGCCTTGCTCAAGGGCCCAGAGTGGGACAGAGGAGGGTGGAGGCAGGTGTGAATGTTTCACCTTTCCCACCCACATTTGATGTTGTCAGTCCAGGGAGTTGAACCAGCGACCTTCCCATCACAGGCCCACCTACTCTAACCTCTGCACCACCACTCCCCAGCTGTAAATACACAGTATTTACATTTTTAATCCTTTCACAGATGAAACTAAATAAATACTTCACATTTTATCAGTTATATTATCGACCATCGTCAAAAGTCACAGGCGGAGGGTAATGTTTTTGCTTGTATGTGTGTGTTCATATGTCTCTGTTAGCAAAATATCTTGTGAACCACTGGGCTACTTTCATTCATGCTACACAGAAAGTAATCACTGGATGTTCAACTGATTAACATTAGGAGTTAATCTAATGACACAACCATCTGGACTTAAAGAAAACACAAGGATTATAACTCAGTCTGTCAGGGATTAACGTTCACTTTGTGTGGTAGTAGCTGAGAGGCGTCCATAACCTCTTCTGAGTTCTGAGCAGGACATCTTGTAACACCATAAATAAGATCATTAATAACAGTATTTTAAAGGTTTGACCAAAACGGCTACAATCATTTTTCATCATAAGATGTGAAACTCTGACGTGAAAGGATGAAAGTAATAAAGTGATGTGCATTCCTTCAAGGACATCTAGAGTGCAGCTCTTTTTTTAATGTAACTGAACAAGACAGGAAATGAACTTATTTCTGTCAGAGAGAAAACATGTCTGATAGTTTTCCAACAGCTCTGTCAGAGCCCACATGTCTCACTGCAGAGGCAGCAGCTGTGTCTGATGATGGTGTGTCTGTTCCTCCTGCAGCGTACAGCACCTTCTACATCGTGGGCCTGATCCTGTCCATGCAGATCCCCTTTGTGGGCTTTCAGCCAATCAGGACCAGCGAACACATGGCGGCAGCAGGTCAGTGAGCTGCCTTCTCTAAACACAGGCTGGCATTTCTTCTTACAAGTCCACAATGTTTTTGTACTTAAACTGATGCTCATCACCACATTAATACTACAGATGATGTTTATATTCAGAAGTTTTACCTCTTTTATTTAACATTACATCACAGTTTGTCATTCAGTCCTTATAAAGAAGTTTATTTTGAAGAGTTGTTCTCAGGCTGACATGAGCTGGACTGTGTCTCTTCACCAAACAGAACAAGCTTTACGGGCTTGACTTATTTATTTATGTATTCTCACTAAAGATTTATTCATTCAACCTTTATTTATACAGATAAATCACATTGAGTCTCTAAGACTCATTTACAAGTGAGACCTGTTTGGACAGACAACAGGTAATGAAAGTGACAACATGTATAGGGTTTGGAGGCAAAAAAAAAAAGTCCTAACAGATTCTCATTCCATGGCCGAGGAAAGATGGCCTGAAATTGAAAAAAAACCCACCAGCACGGGAGGGGAGACGACAAGAGCAGTGAGCGTGTCCAAGGACACTCCAGGGGCACTGTAGGAGTTCTGATAAGAATGGTACAATCAGTCAGTTCTCTCTGGTGAGATCAGTAAACACTCGAGGGTTCCTAGTTTGATCTAGGACAGCACCAGAGAGAATCCAAGAGTCCTGAAATGATGAAACAATGTTTATTCAGCAGGGTTCCTCTGATAGGTCCGCAGACTTTGTTGGTGGGAGGGGGTCAGAGCGTCGAATTTACAGGGCCTCCAGGCGAATTGAGATAAGGTGACCTGTCAAGGCCAGCTGGGGAGCCTAATTCAGATAAACATTTGTTTTGGGGACAGGAAGAACTTTAGTGATTTATGTCTGCCTTGAGTCTTTGCTGGTCCTCACAAATCCCAAACGTCCAAATTAAGTGGACATGCTGCTGGTCCGTGCCTGAGAGTATTCCCGAGATCTGATCCATCCTGCCAGCGAATCCTAGGGGCCACAGATGGCCTGCAATTCTCACAAATCACCTCCAATTTGCGGTTCAGTTCGCAAAGCAATTGAGTCTGGGTGCCCGAGGCACGGAACAAACCATCACATAAGGCAGACAGCCTGACCAGGGTCAAATTTGCTGCCGACGACTCCTTCTTTGTTGTTAAACCAGGAACCAGCCAATTCCAAAAAGCAGGAAACCTGGTATCATAAATCCAATTATATATGCGTCTTCAACATCCTCGATGGACAGCAAAGATAGACACATCACCTTCCACTCGCCCCAGGAATCAATGACGTATCCAGCTGTGTGCATGTCATCTGGGTAAGTCGGCTCACCTGATGCTTGTCTTCTCAAGAAAATTTTATCAATTGCGTTGAGAGACCAGCTGACCAGAGCCATAGCAAAAATTATGGTTTGGAAGATCTGTAGAGAGAGACTTTGAAGCCGTTTTAGAGCTAGGGCTGATTTAGTTAGAAGTAGTTTTAAATTGTCTTTAAGTGTGGATGAGAGTGTGGATGGTTGTTTGTCTCTATGTGGTCTTGTGAACCGATGCTCAAACCTTTATTTTGTCTTCTATTGAGCAAGGCTTTTTAAACGTGGTGCTAACAACATTTCAACAGGCTGTTGTTTCCGTGAGCTGGCCTCCAGCTCCTGACGGTGTTCATCTAGTCCCAGCAAAGAGCTGATGCTGAGTTGGCAGCAGTTCTTCAGGGCCACAGCTTCTCATGGTAGAAACCGAAAGAGTTCGTTCTAATTGAACTCTGGAATTTGCTGGTTAAAAGATCTGTTAGTTGTTCAATGAAGCAGTTCTCCTTCTACTTTAGCTATTTGAATACAGTTAGTGAATAGTGTGACCGCTGGATTAGTGTTTAGCTTGCTTGGCTACTGACTGGAAAATTTATATTGAGCTAAAAAAAAAGGGCCTACTCTGTAGCAGAAACTAAAGAAGGCTCAATAGTATCAGAAGCGCAAAAATAAAATAGCAAACTGTGTCAAATGTCAAGTGTTCCTACCCTCACCCAGCTCTTCTGGGAGGACTCCAAGGCGTTTTGGCCATCCGAGAGACATAGTCTCTCCAGCGTGTACTGGGTCTTCCCTGGGGTCTCCTCCCAGTTGGACATGCCCAAAGCACCTCCCTGGGGAGGCACCCAGGGAGCATCCTTACCAGATGTCCAAACCACCTCAACTGTCTCATCTGGATGTGGAGGAGCAGCAGTTCTACTCCGAGTTTCTCCTGGTAACTGAACTTCTCACCCTATCTCTAAGGGAGAGTCCGGATACCCTGTGGATGAAACTCATTTCAACCACCTGTATCCATGATCTCATTCTTTCGGTCACTACCCAGAGCTCATGACCATAGGTGAGGCTGTAGAAAGAGATATCTGGACCTCCCTGCTCAAGCTGCTGCCCTGAGACCTGACTTCAGAACAAGAGGAAGATGATGGATGGATGTTGAATGATGGATGATGGATGGATGAAGGATGGATGATGGATGGATGATTGATGATGGATGGATGAATGATGGATGGATGATTGATGATGGATGGATGATGATGGCTGGCTGGCTGGTGTCAGATGGTTTAAGGACAGTGAAGTGGTGTAACAGGAACAGAGTAATGATCGAGCTGAATGTTCAGATCATTCACAGGTTTCTGTGAAGATCTTCTGGATTAGTTGTCTCTAATTGTGCTCATCATTTTATTCAATCTGCTTCATGTTAGAATACCAGAAACATAAACGTATGGAAGATGTTTCACGCACTGTAATAAATATAAAACGCAATCAGGGACTTGGACAAATGAAATGTCTAAGTGGACTCATTTTGATTTGTGTCTGCTTGCAGGTGTGTTCGTTCTGCTTCAGGTGTACGCCTTCCTGCAGTACCTGAAGGACAGGCTGACCCGGCAGGAGTTCCAGACTCTGTTCTTCCTGGGAGTGTCTCTGGCTGCCGGGGTGGTTTTCCTCTCAGTCATTTACCTGACGTACACAGGTTGGTTGTCCTTCAGAGAACTGAAACGTGTGTTTCTGTCGTTAGCTGGAAACATGGAGCGAGTGAGGGAAGAAAGTTTGAAGTAGAAGAGAACGAACGAAAGCTGCACACAGAGTTCACAGCTTTAAGGTGTTTAGTCCGTGTGACTGTTTGAAATCACCCACTGATTGAATAAACACAGTCTGTCCTGCGCTGCCTCCAACCAGTTCTCTGAAGACTAGAATCACCAAAGAAAGGTTGTGATGGTGTTTCCCTCTGAAGTGAACATGGAGGTCAGTCAGCTGAAGCCTGTGCTGCAGAGTACAGTTGCATTCGGGCCCAAAAAATCGGATCCGACCCGGCCCCAGCCCGCACTCATAATTTCCTAACCCCACTCGACCCAACGAATTAACAGTAATTACAGGTCCGAACCCCCCCCCCCCCCCCCCCACATTTTTAATTAGTTATTAACGGTTGGGGACGCGCAGCAGAATAAAAGCAGCAGAAGATTTGGAGCTGAGAGGTGTTTGTACGTTCATGGCCGTAAAAAAACATTTAAACCTGTTTCTGCCTGAATTCTTCTGAATTCGAGACACGGACAGCTCTGACACACGCGTCTGCTTTGTGATCTCACCTGTTTGGATCATCGGCCGCGCGCGTGCAGCTCATCCATCAATCAGTCAATTGTGTGTCATGTCCACTCTTATGTTGAAAAACAGCGATAGAGCGAGTCCACAAAAGTCAAACTGCGAAGTAGCGAGGGGCTACTGTAGTCGTCTAGTGGGCTGCAGAAGTGTTTGTCCACCTCCATGTTTGTTCTGTTTTGGTGCTTTACACTGTGACATTTAACATCATCTTTACTTTGTTTACAAGCAATCATTCTTAAAAAAAGATGAATTAAGTTAAATTGGGAAAAAGAACTTGTTTTACATTTTTCTATTTAAAACAAAAACACACACATGCACACACGATCTTGGTTCATCGTGTCCAACAATCTTCAAATGACACCACAACAAAATAAACCTGTGCCGTTTCAGGACATTTCACTGGTTCTTAAACCAGTGGAGTGTTTCAATGGTGTGTTCACAGTCTTTGACCTGCTGGAAGGGAACATCCCCACAGCTTGATGCTGCCACCACCATGCTTCACTGCAGGGCTGGTGTTCTCTGCAGGAACATGGTGCTGTCCTGGACGGCCTACAGGTCAGAGTGTGGTCTCACCGGACCACAGCACCTTCTTTCTCATGTCTGAGGACATTTCTAAATGAAGCCCACCTGTGAGCAGATCCTCCCATCGCTGCTCCATCAGGGTTATCTTCAGCCTCCTGGGTTTCTCTGATTAATGCCCTCCTTACCAGAACATCTGTTTATTTTCTACTAATGGATTTAATGGAGGTCTTAATGGGAGTGTCAGTGTTCTTGGAGATTTTTTAATAGCCCATCAGATCTGAGCTTCTCCACAACTTAGTTTTTGACCTGCATGGAGAGTTACTTTGTTTTCAGGACGTCTTTTGCTTGGTGGGAGCTCTTCCTAGTTAGAGGTGTTGAACTGGTGTGGATTCTGGGAGCCATGGGAGCAGCTGGATTTCATCTGACAGATGTAAACTCCTTAGATTCCTCAGAGATGTATCTTATTTCACTAAACGTTTGAGGCTTCAAAACAGAAGATGAATACAGCTCCTGGCATTAACTTTCAGTTAATTTCATTTTTCAATTGTTTAAAACATTTTTCCAGTTTAACTTTTAAAATCAAGAGTTTATGGGAGAATTAATGATTTTAATCACATTAAAATATCAGTTAAATTCCAGGTCGTAAGGCAACGAAATGTAAAAAATACCAAGAAGGTTGAATGTTTCAGAGCTCTAAAGGTTTTCTGTTTGTTGTGTCTCTGTGTCAACTTGACCCTAAAGTTACAAAGTGTACAGATAAAAAATAAGAGACTCCAATATATTATTTAACTTTGAGCCATTTGTGTAACCCTAACCTTTAATGTCTGTTATTACCTGCGAATTATGTCTTTGCTCAAATGTAGCATTTTATGGAAGATTAATCAAACATAAACTTATAGTTTGTCCTCATCAGGATCTGTCAGTGTTTTAAACCAATAGATGAACAAAATGAGGAATAAAACAAATTGTTTCTTAGGATAAAATGGATGTTTTTCCCTTTGGGTCTGACGGGGATCAGGAGGATGCTCTAGTTATTTTTGTGTTGTGCATTTAACAAAGAGGCGTTTGTGTGTACTTTTGGTACAAATTACTTCCCAGAAAGTTGCAGTCCATCGTTTTTCAATATCACCTACTCATCCTTTCAAGAAGAAAAGTATTCAGCAGTCTGTTTTGTTGAGTTTTTATTTAATACAAGACGATCATTATCTGTATTAATGAACTGAACTCTTGTTTTGTACCTGAAACGACCTCCAAAGATGTTTTTTTCAGGCATTAATGAGTGTGGCTTTAATAAATACAGCCCTCATGTAAAACCATTGAGATGCTATAATGTACTTCAATAGCTGACTCATCCAGACCATTGCAGCTCTCTTGTATTATTAATGTAGTCTCTACCAGCTGCTCTTTAACAGTTCCGGTTCTGTTCAGTGTTCTCATCCGTCGTTGCTCTGTGCAGATCAGACTAATTATATGATCAATACATGCTAGAGGACTTATACAAACCAATTACTTGTTCCACTGATGTGAAGCCCAGTACCAGATCACTGTCTAAATGTTGTGTTTGTGAGTCTGTGTGTGTTTGACACGGCTCTGGTGAGTCTTTTATAAGCTCATATGTTTTGTTTGTTGCTCCTTCAGGGTACATTGCTCCGTGGAGTGGGCGCTTCTACTCTCTTTGGGACACTGGGTAAGTCCTCAGAATGAATGTGCTGGACTCAGCTTCAGGTCTGCAAGAAAAAAATAATTATAGAATACATAATTGTGTTAATATGTTCCTTGTTACGCTTGAAGCATGGAAATGCTGCTGCTTTGCAGCTGTGGTCCCCTGCCACTGCAGACTTGGACTCCTAATAAAAACCTAAATAGCAAAGAAAAACAACCTTGTAATGAAAACAAAAACACAAAATCAATTAAAATAAATTCCAATTAAACTAGAAATGAACATCTCAGATGGTGTCAAAAGCCAAGGAGAAGAGGTGAGGAGGACGCCTGTCTGATGCCCAAAGGCAGCTCATTCCATATTTTAGAAGCAGCAGAGAAAGCACAATCCCCTCCAAGGTTTTGTTCAGTTTTTGGGACGCTCAGGAGCAGCTGGTCAGCTGACCAGTATAGAGGCGTAACAGCTCAGTGAGGTAGGGTGGGGCAACACCGTGTAAGGCTTTAAAAACAAATTAAAGCACTTTGAAATTAATCATATAATGTACAGGCAGTAATATATTGAGCCTAATACACTTTCTTCTTGTGCTTTGATTTGCTGTACTGCAGTGAAAATAAAACACTGTTTTAAAATACAAGGAAACTGACACCAGGTGTAACATGAGGTGTAGCATGAGGTGTAACATCAGATGTAACACCAGGCGTAACATCAGGTGTAACACCAGGCGTAACATCAGGTGTAACACCAGGCGTAACACCAGGTGTAACATCAGGTGTGACACCAGGCGTAACATCAGGTGTGACATCAGGCGTAACACCAGGTGTGACATCAGGTGTAACACCAGGCGTGACATCAGGTGTAACACCAGG